ACGGTCTTCCCCATCGAACGTTTTCGTTTTCACCGCTCTTTTTTCCGGTCGCTTCACTTTTTCGATAATTAAAGTCGCCCCGATATCGCGAGGCATAATATAACATCTCGGTATCTCTAGGCGAATTCAATGGCGCGACGAAAGTGCTGAAATCGAGATGTAGTAATCGGACGTAGTTGGAGCGAGATTATTTTTGAATATCGCGGAGCCATGAGATACCCGGTTTTAAATATCGCTTCTGGTCGTGAATTATTCACAATTTTGCCATCGATACACTAACTAATCACGGATTCATGTTCGCGGGACGTTATTCGATCGTTTGACTCGATATTTTTGGTCTGAGAAATGGATGCGGATTGACGAAGAGTTTAAAAAATGGGACACCCTGTATATCGGTTCACACAGCGTCTCACCATGTTCCTTGCCGAGACATTCGCGTCACCCATGTCGTGTGGGTCGTTGGTGGCTGCGTTATCGTTTATCCCGTTTAAATAACACGAGTCTCATAAATTATAAGAATACATTTTGCAATTATGATTAGCTCTGAAATATCAGACGGTCCGAACATCTGAAAGTTCAACACGGGCCACCGGGCTGGCACAGGACTCGTCAGCGCGTTTAATGTCGGCATAACGATCGTTAATTATGCATTATGATGCCAACGCACACGAGATTTGCGTAGCAGCAAATTACCAAGTACAGTTAACGGAGTCTGCAAAAATGGCGGCCGCGCGACTGACAACGAGGAGCCGTCCGCATCGGAGCGACACGCGTATCCGGACTCACATTACTCGCGATATCCTCAGTAGCTCGGTTATCAGTCAGGCTCCTGCACATCAATGGCAATTAGCGCGATAGTCCACGTGCTAAATAAATGATAACGACAATGATGTGCCACGAACAGCGGCCTCAACACGTGCGCCGCCGTGCGTCACGCGTGCGTGACGCACCGATCCTCGCGAGAGGCCGACCTCGCGTATCTGTGTGACAGCGATAATCCCTCATTCCGAGTCCTCGCAAACAACAACTCAAGGCTGTCTCACACCGTTACACGGAGAAACGACGAATGCGGGGTGGCCTACGGCGGACGCGATCGTCCGCGGAGGGAGGGGGGGGACGAACGCCGGTCCAGTGGGGCGGTCGTGTTAATCCGCTGTTCGGGACGCACGCGATTTCGAATAGTTGGGGGTGGCAGGCGGGCGGGGAGGGGGGGGGGTTGCCCCCTCACGTATGCAACGAGTGTGTGTAACCTTTTGGTACGCAGAGGCGGGCGTAATAGCCTTAACCCTTTGCGGCCCTGCGTCGAGCTTACCTTGACACCGTGTCTCATTTCCATCGATTTTGCAAAGCGTCATTTTATTCGTTATTAGCAGCGCGCGCGTCCGGTATAAATATATTATTGCGAATGAATAGTCGTTGCCGTAAACGCGACGGTTAAGTGCTGGAATATCGAAACAAACGCAAATTATGCAATATCACGGCGGCATAAATGGATTTCCACGGACCGGTCGAGAGGAGAAGTCAAAAGCAATTCGGACCGCGAAGGATTAACATTTATAAAGCCTCGGAGCCAGCGGGATTCATCGGTAGCGCGCGGCGTGTCTACATATTTTTGTGCATTGTTAATTACTCAGAGAAACGCTACTGCTGATATCTCACGCGTTGCTTCTTCTTTTCATACTGATCTTGTATTTTGCGTCACTTCTATTAAACAATATCGGGATATCGTTTCTTCATCGAGCAATCAACAGCCATAATGCACGAATATGCAAATACAATAGTCTACAATAGTCTTAATTCCTCGTGGTCCTGCGTCGAGTCTACCTCGACGTCAATCCGTAGAAATGACATTCGGTTTTAATCGATTTTAGCTAAATCAACATTTCACTTCGTCAACAGAGAATATATTCAATATAAATAGATTACTGCAAATATATGTTATTGCATTAATTTAATATTGGAATATTGAAATAAGCACAAATTACGCGATATTAGCGCGAAGTAAATGTATCTCCGTAGATCGGTTGAGAAGAGAAGCCGAAAAGCAATACGAGAAATAGACATTTATTAATTATGCTCATAATCACACCAGAGCTTCTTCGATCGCACGCGTTGCGTTTACATATTCGCACATTCTGACTGCCAGTTATTTTAAAAACTTATCCAATCATAATTATTAAAAAAATATTATAAATTATTATCCATTAAAAAAATTAATTATCAAACAATAATATTAATTACAGGAAAAATACTGACGCGATTTAAATATGGACGCGATATCGCGTGTGCATTATTTCTTCTCCTCTTTGTATCGATTTTATATATGTTTTACGTAATAATATAACCGAGAGATATTTTTCATTGTCGTTCCGTCGCGTAATCAGCGGCGACAATGCATGAGGGTGCAGGCGCAACGCGTATAATCGAAAAAAATTCCAACGACCCTGGACTTAGTAAATGTTAAATCTATTATGCTGGTCCGTGTGTACATACGTGTTTTATAATTCAGCTACACTCGGTTATACATTCGGTTACATTTCATTTGCATTCGCTCGCAGACCACCGAGCTGCTCACATGGAAACTGCTCGTTCATTGTGACTGGCTACCTAATTGTTACGCGAGCCGGTACAATGGTACATATGTTCCGACTCGATGACGCATTCCGACGTATAATTTGTATTTCCCGATTTGATTATGTTCTATTTGGCTTTGAGAGTGTACATTAAATTCTCCTTCCCCTCCCCCTCTCCCCTCTCATCCCCCTACTTCTCTCTCTCTCTCTCTCTCTCTCTCTCTCTCTCTCTCTCTCTCTCTCTCTCTCTCTCTCTCTCTCTCTCTCTCTCTGTCTGATTATCTTTTAACCGAATTATGCGCATTCTGATATTCGCGGAAAAGCCGGGGTTGGCGAAACGCGAAATCATCCAGCGTGAGCGAATGCAAGCTGGCGTCACTCCTCGTCGGTGCAAGTGGGCGGATTTCGCCGGCCGCGAAGCGCATACTCCCGCGACTTCGAATTAACGCCGTTGAAATGATTCAGCGTTTCCTTCCGCCGCTCCCTAAATATCAGCGTTTCCCCCGCCCGAAGCGGCGACGTGTACGCGCGTGATGTTTTTTGCGCGTGATCGTAGTGAGAACGTGAATGATACTCGGAACAATAAAAGTGCATATCTGTCACGGAAAAACGTGTGTTCTTTATCGCTCGCCGGAAAAAAAGGCGATCGCACAAAACTCGCGACCGCACGATTTTCGTACGTAGAATTTTCCGTCGTGGTAAACAGGTTTGATTGACCGTAACAGCTACGGGGCGTTATTTATTCGTAGGTACGACAAGACCGTGTGTGATTTATCTATCTATTTCGGGAAATGATGTAATTTTGTACGATCGTTTTATATAAAAATGGAGAGAATATCCTGTCGCTATAAAACGTCGTAGCGACGTATTTTTTTATAATAAGTAATAATAATAAGTTTGGTAATAATAATAAAATAGTAACAAATGCATGTTGCAATGGTAGATAAACATGTAGCGAATAAACATTATCTTTTGGAATATATATATATATATATATATAAAAAAATATTCAATTGTATTTATATTATAAATATATTTAAAACAATAAGAGAGATGTGGCGTAAATTTGATAACGGGATAAAAATTGAGTGACCGACATTGCGAATGCGACGAATTTTGAGCTAAAAATACATTAAAATATAAAAGAAATGAGAAAGAAATTAAAGATACAGTCAATGACAGAATGATCGCAAAACTTCTCCATGCGATTTTCATCTGCTTAAAAAGAAAAGCTGTTGCTTCAACATCTCTCCTTCTCGAGTTTTAGTCGTTCGACGAGAATAAGGGAAGATTAAAGGCAGAATCGTGTTTACTTTTCCCCCCTTTCGCTCCTTCAATCATCCCTAATCAATCTCTACACAGTGTAAGGGTGACTTTCACTAAGCTCCGATTAACCTAGTCGTCGATTTAAAGCCGCTGTCTCTCAATCAAGTATTACCTGTTCTTACCTCGTTAAAAAATACAGATAAAGTGTGAAATTAGTTAACAAAATTATAAACCGTTTAATTATATATTGCTAGACGGCAAAATATATACCTGGAAACTAGCACCAGCATTTCCGCTGGTTATTTATCAGTCACATCTAACTTCTTCAAGAAGCATTAAATTTTTTAAAATTCTAATATTGCTTGCGAAATATAAAATGATTGTCACCTTACATATCTTTGAAATATAAAAGTAGGAAAAACATTAATCAATTATTATTATTTATAAATTATTTATTAAGATATTTACAAGGATAATAGTCGTCACATAACCCCAATAAACATTACTGCGGATAAAGATTCCCACAAAATTCCACAGGAAGGAGGAAAGTTTCGTTACATGATTGGCAGATTTCACATTGATGTCGCTTTAAAGTTCAATCGTTTTCTTCTGATTTTAATAAATTCATCCCGGAAGAAGTTAATCAAAGTTCACTGGAAGCCATTCTACAAGGGTGACACTCCCGCTTCTGATTAAACTAATCGACGATTAATTCAGTTGTTAACATGAAAAATAAAAGACTATGAAAACTAATAAGAAATTGTCGAGCTCTCCCATTGCTAAAAAACTGAGATTCAAAATAGTCACCAGTCTCTCAAGTATCGGGAAAATTTCGGGAAATATTAAATGCCTTATTCCGTCGACATACACAGAATATCACGAGTGCACTAATTGCTAATTATTATTCGACGGCAAATTCCATAGTTGGGAATTTCTATCGGCGATTCTACCAGTTCGACATCGATTAGACTTCGCGAGGAGTCCCCCGAACACGACAGTCGCGCCCGCTCACGTTGGCATCTTGCGGCTAACTTTGCCGGCAATAAAGACATATCTTCGCCGCTCAACCCGCGTATAATTTTTTATCCGCGTGATAATGACAATTTTTTGTCGCCGAGCACGAACGGCCGGTCGCGGCGGGTATAAAACGCGGCGAGCGCGTAAAATTGCGCCGGAGTGGTAAGAATTCGTCACCATGAAGAAGGTTCCGATTTTTTTGTTCATCGCTCTGCTCGCCGTGGCCCTCTTTGGGCGATTTACTTTGGCCAGCCCATCAGCCAACGCCGACGCCGACGCCAACGCCGAGGCCAATCCCGCCGCTATGGCCGAAGCTTTTTCAAATGCTCTAGCCGCAGCTATGGCAAGTGGCAACGCTGATGCTCTCTCTGAAGCTGTTGCATATGCCAACCCGAAAGCCTGGGCTAGAGCCGTAGCCGACGCATTAACCCTTGCCAACGCCGACGCTGATTCCAATGCTTATAGTTATGCTATTCCAGACGCCTGGGCTAACGCCATAGCCTACGCATTGGGCATGGGTGAAGCCAATGTGAACGCCAACAAATAGACCGATAGCAGAGCTACCCTCTTCACGTAAGTTTTCTTCTTCCGTTGTCTCTTCTGCTATTTACCGCCGATTTACATGTCGCGACGTGATGTGCGCTTAGAGAGCTTTTCTGCAGAGGTTTGTGAAAGTTTACCGGATTTCCAGGGATTCTTTTATATTGACACCTCAGTGGCCGCCGTCATGTACGTTTCATGGCATCGTTTCATTTGACGCCTTATCGCCTTATTGGGAAATATTACAATTAGAAGTATTGTTGATGGGAACGGTCTCCGAATGTCTCTAAAAATGTTAATATTGTAAGATTGTCATATATACAACGACGATTACAAATGTTCTTCTAGAAATGTTTTATTTTCTACCTGTTATTTTGTTGTATTTGTATATGTTTGTAAAATGTCTATTACTTTTATACACTAGACGATATATTTTATTTCACGTCTGTGAAATGGATTTTCCCCTCGGTTCTCGGTGAGATCGATGAGATCATTGACGATCCGACGGACTTTCACGAGCCTGTGGAAATCGGAAATCGGATTGGGAGTATTTTAAAGAACCGCGCGCGGTCTTTCGTGCAGTTCGCGCGCGCCCGCGAAATGTCGTGTCGTGTTCGCGCAGCAACGTGCGAAACATTCAGGTTGCTCGGTAAACCGACGTCTCATTCGGCTGTTTTAATTAATTCAACGGTTAACGGATTTAGACTAACCGGAAAACGCGTAGCCGTAATTATTTCGAGTTTATGCTGCTTGCCGGTTGAAACCGAGTCGGGAAACGCGTCGCGCGCTTCGATCGAGTCCTGCACTCGAAGACGGAATAAATTCAATTATTGCGCATTATCACGTGAGACGAAATTTCGCGTTCGATTTAATTGAAGTTTTTAACGGGACGTTCGTGTCCTGCTCTGTCTCTTCCAGTTAGCGCTAGCCACGTTGCTGTTTGCACATCACAATATCATTAAGGGTTAAAATTCCAAGAGGAGGATCACTATATATCTACGATTGCACGATTTTATGTAATGTAATTGATTGTACTCATAAAGCAACGGACAAAAATAAATAATGAAACTAAACGAAACGAAACGAAAATGTGATAATTATTTGAAATCGCAGGCGTTAAAATTAAATATTGCATAGTGGCGGCTGTCGAGAATATTATAGATTTTTCTTCGTATAAATTTTTTCAATTTTATTTTATTTTTTTTTTATGTTTTCTGATAGTACAGAAACAGACTCAATAAACGACACACGCGGGCCAAACTAATTGTTAGTGTTCTTGAAGTCGCTGATCACGAATCTGAGCTCAGAATTTGTAATCAGCGAGCAAGAAGTCCTCGAGATTGAGTTTCGTCGAAATCGAACTATTTTTATTTTATCTCTGCCGTTTGGGGCACGAAGAATAAAATTTTGCGCGCCGCGTAAAGGATTAAGCGAGGCGAGATTTTATCACGTAAAAGTGTTTACAAGAATGGCTGCTATCATCTTGACAGCCAGATGCTCGCTTAACATTCGCGACGCGTGCACCGCTCGCATTGATAAGACATGTCGCGCGCGATTCTTTTGTTACTTACGAGGCGCGGCTCGCGTTGACGTATAAAAAAACCATGACGCGGTTCGAAATATCGAAAGGAGGTCTGACGTCGGTCTTCGAGATGTATTTAGCCATTACGTGATTCGCAACGCTGCTGTTCGCCGCAATAATTTTCGCCCTTGTGAGTCAGAGGTCGCGTCGTGAGTCTGTCGCAGTCGTCTCCTAATATTAATTAATCGAATTAACATTTAAGTTTATAATCCAAGGATTAATAGTTAAGCCGGGGAATTTGTTCCATCTATCAAGTGGAAATATTGTATCATTAAATTAATATTTAAACTTATGATCAAGGGATTAATCATTAAACTGAAGATTAACTAACTAAGGGAATTAATTTATTCAGTTTAAATGGAAACTTTCTTTTGTCCTCTCGTCTTATAAAAGAATCGTCGCGATTGCAACGTACTCGGATTTCTCCGGGAAGTTTTGCCGTGTATATACAAGCCGTTCGAAAATTCGCGTCATTTATCTGACAGAAGGGGTTCTCTGAGCGATTGAGAATAAATTTTTCCGCAGTGAAAACGTCGAAGTATCGATAGTTTCCGAGATAAAAGCGATTGCGGTGAAGCAGGATTCTTCGTGAGCTGAAACTTTCCGGGCGACTGCATGGATAACAAAGTTATTGTACTCATTTAATTCTTCCAACTTTTCTAATTTATTTCTGTAAGAATCGACTTCTATGACTTTTATTTCCGTCAGAGATTAGCCAAAGAGATAATGAAGAAATTTTCTTTGCTTAGTGAATTATTCTTTTACATTAATTAACACCACAATGGCACACTGATTGTTAATAGATGTGAAGTTTTATTTTAAAGAGAAAGAAAGAGAATGGATTGAAAAAAAATATTTAGTAAACGTGTAAATTTCTTCGCCGTAATTATTACTACGTTCACTTAAATAATTTGAAGTTGAGAACGTGCATTTTCGACTAAAAGAGAAAGAGGAAGAGAGAGAGAGAGAGAGAGAGAGAGAGAGAGAGAGAGAGAGAGAGAGAGAGAGAGAGAGAAAGAAAGAGAATGAAAGGGAGAGAAAAAGGTGACGGAATGATCGCGCGCTAAAACGGTAAAGATTTTCACAGATGCGAAGCGAAATACGTCAACAATGTCGGAACGACAAATTGCCGTGCGAGCGTGAACAGAACGAATGATGATGAATATGACGGAGGGGGACAGAGTTATTCGCGTTCGCTGTCAAAATAAACGTGATTTATTCCGGGCAATATGATCGCGGCGGAGTGCAGCCTGGACGAAACTCTCAAACACCTCGGGGTTTAGTTTTTTTTAATAATTTTAACAACGCCGATAACCAATCGGCAACTATAAATCAATACCTCTCGCATTAATTAGACGGTCTGTAGATTTTCGATACCATTCTTCTACGCCACTGCGTAAAACGCGCTGTTTTGTTCCACTCCCTTTGCGGGTGAATGTACAAACGTGTCGACGTGAAACATGGAACGTTGTCAGCGCAACTCGAAACATACACACCGAATAATCATCTCGCGACTGCGGGAACATTCGAAATGGCGTTTCGTCGCGGATCACCGCGCTGAGAGCAGTCGTTGTCGGGTCGATTCTCTCTTTGTGATCCGTGGCTGAGACGTCATTCTACTCTGCGTTGCAGAGTATTTTGCTCAGATGAAACTTCTTCAAGATATATGCGAGAGATGCAGATATCTTTAAAAAATGATTTTTGGCGAGAATTTATATTTTACTTTAGATTATTTTGTTTTTTGTACCGTATATTTTATCGTACTTTATTTTATGTTGTCCGGCAAGCGAAGTTTAATAGATAAGCAAATAGATCTGAAATCAAAAAGGTTAGAATTTTTCGTACGAATTTTTATATTGAGAGACAGAGAAGAGGGATTTTTAAAAATAAAAATAAAAGATAACAAATGTATAAAATTGATTTTATCGCACACAGTGGCGATAAATTATTCGTTAATCGACAAATTGCCGTCGTCCATAATTTTTTATGCCAATATTTTCGTGGAATTTACATAATATATCTCTACCACAAATTCAACCCAACTTTCAATCGACCGAACATATTCAAGTCGGCGATCAATTGTGGGCTCTCAACTTTTTGGTTGTTAAAAATATTATTAATCAGTAGCAATTAACAGTGCAGGTTGATTGCTGTTAATAATGACAAATAATTAATCAGTATGTTATTTAATGTTTTAACATATATATTTATTATTTTAACATGCTGATTATTTATTCGCAATTACGATTGATTTCTCATTTACCCGTAAAATAACGACAAAGGGAAAGCGCGACAAATTTCTCTCGAGAGGCCTCTCGCATTCGACGCGCGAAGATTGAAACGTCGCGCTTACCGTCGTTTAACCGATTATCTCGTCGTGTTTTCGGCGGTTTTACCAGCGATTCACGAGAGAATCTCTCTCCTGGAGCTCCTTCGTCGCCGCTGAAAATCCCCGAGTCGCGATTTTTCACGCAAATTCACGTCAACGGCTGCGAAGGCAGCGCGATTCGTGCCATATAATACCCATAAGGTATTCCATTATCTGCGGGGTACTCTTCGTCACTCGCTAAGCGCACAAGGGGTGTCGACAGGGGGATGGGAATGTATAAAACAGCCCGGTACCTCTGGCCGGGACACGACGGCTTTGTGGCTCGACGGCTCGAAATCACGCGACGCATTTTCAGTGCATTCGGAAGCGGCAAACGATGATGACAGTTATGACGAGATTGTTTCTCGCCGTCGCGAGCGTCCTCCTGTGTAATGGCCGCTTCGACGTCTCCCTTTGCCGCAAATTTCGCTTCCGTGATCGCGCGACCGCCTCGTTCCTTTAAATAGATCGCAAACAGATCGATCTTCCGCCAAGCGTGTGTCCGGTTTTCATCCGTGCGATGATAACATCGCGAAGGATGACGTTACAAACTCTCGACTACGATCATTCGAAATCGATCGTTACTATTCTTGCATTTGCTGCTACATTACCGCGCTCATTCATGTTTTAGTTTATCCTTCTTCGCATTCTCTGTATCTCTTGCATATTTTAATTCTTTCTCCTCCATAGCCTAATCTGTTTGTTCGCTTATAAATCTATTTTGATTTAATTCAATCGTTAATTTACAGTTTATATCTGCGCTAGTTTACGTCTTTCATTTATATGAATTTGTGATCTTACCTCTCTGCGATATTAGTAAATATATTGGGTAGTTGCAAAGATTTTGATGGATTTTGGGCTGGAAAAATAGATTGTGTGAGTTTGTTGAAAACGATTTATTCACTTTACCAGATAAACTCATCATTGTTTTTTTTATTATTTTCGGTATATTATACATTTACATATTTGTAAGTACTGCCGTAAAACTGAATCGGTCACGACATCTTGGAGAAACACGTCAAAACTTTCGCACTCAACCAGCACTTTGTTTCACTTCTCGTTTACTGTTTGACCATCACACGCATACTTTCGTTACTCGCTTGTTCATTACTCATTACGCGCGCTCATTACTTCCTTCTTCCGTCCTCTCACTTCTCCATTTCTGCGTTTCTTGCTGCATTATCATATTCATTCTTATTTTCGTCTGCACTTTCGCACTCTTTCCGTTCTCTTCTATCTTTAATTCTTATTTTCCTCTTATTTATAATTTGTTTATCTATAATCCACTTTCTTTAATTTATGATCCATTCTTACATCTTGTGTCTACATCTTACATTTAGATCTATCTAATTTTACTTTTGCGATATTAACAATTAAATCTACTTTA